GAAGTGTTCTTTCCGAATTAGGGAAGAACAGCTTCATCATCGCAGATATTGTTGACGTAATATCTCGTGAGGACGATTTCATCATGCCCTCACGCGGGAGCGATGAACAACATCGTGTTTACGATGTTCCAGTAGGACTTCAGTCCAGGCCTTGTTTGGCCCAAGAGTTGCGGCATCCGGGAGTTAACTTCCCGAGTTTTGGACGTCTAGCATTCGGACATATTATCCACCTAGCATCATTGACAGGATTTCGGAGACAGGTATGGCCTTACAGCCCACGGGCATTATCGACTGTATAAGATAATTCACGATTCTAGGATCTTTCCCGATCCATTCATTCGCTGAGTGTGTTTACGGTTTTCCATCACATTTCGACTCTTGAGTATCGACAGCGCACTGAAGTCGAGGTCAGTCTAGTAATTTTGTGAGCATGCAAGGTCCTAGGAGAACTGGTTCTTTTATTCAGCGTACTACCCTTCGGACAGTGGTCAAATTCGAAGCTCCTATTCAACAACTTCTTGATCAACTCTGGAATTCTGTACAGTGACATTTTAGCATCTCAGCCCTATTATATTGCTTTTTGTGGCCAATTGGCACCTCTACTGATTTTTATCAATTTCATCAGATATCCTATCAGGAGGCTGTGGAACCTATGGACGTGGACCAGCATGTGGAGCCTAGCAGAATTCAATTACTGGGGGACTCGGATATCGCAGCTATTATCGCTGCTCTTAAGGAAGACCAACCATCAGCTTCCACTCAGCTGGTCCCCCCGAACCCCTCTTTCGCGCGTAAGGGCTACGCATCCCAGTACGAATTCAACCTATCCGTGATGCAGAGCCTCATCAAAATCAACAGGAACGGGATGAGGAAGGAGGACGATGAGATAGTACAGACCGTTTTGAATGCAGTCAAAGTCAGAAACGAGACTCTAAAAATTGCCGATAAACATCCAGGAGTATTTTCATTTCTCGACAGCAAGAAACAAGCCGAAGCGGTGAAATCTTTGGATCCTTTTCTCGCCGAATTTCTAGAGCAAGGAAGAGAAGAAGACTAAAAAGAAGAGAACGACGTCTCCTGAAGGCTCAAATCGGCCCCTTCGTGGTAGGGACTCGGCGTGGCGACCCAATTCCCGCTGCTTTAGCTACGCCTCCAGATTCAAGCAATACCAGTCCGGTGACAGACAAGGAAATAGATGCATTTTCCCGGCTCAAGGGCCTCACCAAAAGTACCGCAGAGAAAAATTCGATAGGCCGCGAAGCTTCTGTTTCATATGCGGTCACGAAGGTCACTGGAGAGACGAATGTCCAAGACAGGAAATGGTAACTATTACGCAGGTTCAATTCGATCACATCTCTATGTGGAAGGCTCTCGAAGCCTAATTGCATTGGTTCTCGATACCATTTTGTACGGGTCTACAATCCCTTTTGATGAGGTTCCTGAGCCTCCATCTAGAGTTGAGAATCGTAAATCGGCATTGACATAATGGTCAAGTTTGGATGGATACATATCAGGAATTTGCATGCCTAAACGGTTGCATGCAATTTGTGCTCGAGGTCAGCGACGGACCTCATGATCCACCCAATCAGTGTAGCAGAGGGTAAGAAATTACGACTTTTTCTGGACCTTTCCTATCTGAACAGATACGTAACCAAAGAGCACGTCAAATTTGACGATTTGGAGAGAGTAAAGCGCCTCCTTCCCCACAGGGGGATATATGACATCTTTCGACCTCAAGAGCGGTTATCACCATATCCGAGTTGCGCAGCCAGCCAACGTTATCTGGCTTGAATGGGGCAACTTCACTCTATAAATTAGCAGTTCTCCCATTTCGCGTTTGCCTCCGCCCCACACATTTCACGGAAATTGCGTAGGGCCGATTAATCCAAAAGTGGAGAGGGGAAGGCAAGGGGATAGCAAGGTATTTGGATGACGGTCTCATATGGGGATGTTCCAGGGAAGAATGCGAGAGAGTGTCAAAGGACATTCGAAAAGATCTAAAAAGTTTTGTATGGTTTGAAGCAGAAGGGAAGTGCAACTGGCTGCCAGCAGCAGAGACAAAATGGTTAGGCTTCGTTATAAATTTGAAATCTTATGAGATCTCGGTCTCAATGGTGGATAGAACTGAAAAGCTCTAGCTATACTAAAGCGCATGCTTTTCAAGAGGGCTCCATCCTTACATACCAGGATGAGATGGATGGGCGCGCTGGCTTCATTGAGCATAGTAATTTCAGATTTGAACAAGAGGCAATCGAGAGCTATGACAGCATCGGTGGCAGAGGCACAGTCTCGTGAGTGTTCTCTCAGTTACAGGTGGACGTTGTCCAGCAAAGAAAGGAGGGAGATATCTTACTGGATAGACAGCCTTACAACGGGGCTATCAGTATCGCTGTACCCGCCAGCAAAGCCACCCGAACCCAATTTCATCATAGAGAGTGGGTATCTCAGCAAGCTCGATGGAGTCGTAATCAAACGAGCGAGCTGGCATCAAAGACACACTCCACTTGCCGGAGACACTATTGTACGGCATCTAGTACGAGAGGGCAGAGAGCTTTCCGCGATACACTTCGGGTTATTAACCTTCGGTCCCACACTTTCAGGGGTCTGCTGGTCAGGTGTGTTAACCAGGCAGCATTTAGGGATTTTGCAAAGTTGGTTAGTAAGCATAGAAGAGTATAAGAGACAAGCAGAAGACATCTGGGAGCTGCAGAGCCATTTAGGGTTGGTGGAAGCCAGGGTAGAATGGATCCCAAGAGAGCAGAATAGGCTTGCGGATAAAGGAAGTAAACAGTTAGATTTCGACAGCATGGCGAGTAATAAGAAGAAAGACAATAAAGTCACAAGAGAGGTGACTACACTGTGAGATTGACATTTTGTGCAGATGACAAAATAGATATGAAGACGTTCTTTTCCAGGAGCTGGTGTCGGGATTCGACGCTTTCCGCAACAGACTTGTTGGTCAGGAACATCCTATGGTTAGATGCCCGCCTCTCTAATTGTGGATGTATAAAACCTTGTCTTGGGCTCGACATTTTGGCTCTTTCGGCATATTAGGGTGCCCCTACTGGTCATCTCAAGCTTATTTTCTCATTTTGAAGCCCGATGGGAAGACTGGGCGAATTTCGTGAGAGACGGAGCCTTTTTCCCCGTCGGTTCCAAGATATCACGGCCCTGCCTCAACGATAAATTAGTAATAGTGAGTTTTGCGAGAATAAGGATTCATGTTCTGAATCCAGAGATTATCCGAGAGTCTCCTTTCGCACAAAAAACTAGTGACGATTTCTAGACTGTCGGCGTGTTGAGATCGCAAAAATGCTCTTCTCCGGTGTCGAAAAGCTATTTATCCCATAGCTATAGCGGAGGGATAAGTGTTGCTTTTCGAATTAGGGAAGAATAGTTTCATCATCGCAGATATTGTTGACGTACAATATCTGATGAGGACGATTTCATCATGTCCTCGCGGGAGCGATGAATAACATCGGTTATTACGTATGTTCGTGCAGAAGGAATTCGATCGCAGGCTTGTTTTGCCCAAGAGTAAGCATCCACCCAGCTCCAACCCTGCTAGTTCAGGACGCTACTCTGGAAGGAAGCTGGTGAATTATACGAAACTGCGGTGGAGTGCAGGCTTCCAAGAGTGGCAGAAGCTATTAGAAGATCTCTCAACAACCACCGCGCTAATGCTACATTCAAAGCATATACACACCACTGTACAAAGTTTGTGAAATGGTGGGGAGCGAGATTAGAGATGTACCTATCCCAAAAGCCAGGAACCTCTTCTTAGCATACTCCTCCGATAAAAATCAACAGTGTTCTCTGCCAACAATTTCGGCTGCACTCACAATTTTTCTCGGAAGACAGAAGGGAGCGGACAAGAAGTGGACAAAAATGCTACTGGAATTGTAGCGAGAAGAGGCGCAGTAATACCGTGCTAAGATTCCAACCTCTGACTACAATGCAATAGTACACCTTGGCGCTACATCTGAAGACCCAAAGGCGTTTTCTACCGTTGCGCCAGCTATATTGCTTTTCAGAAGGTTGTCTCGGGCGGCGCAGATCAGCGAAGCGAGACACTCAAATAATGGATATCCATGTGGGTGGCACACATACCGGTTACAATGCAGGTCTAAAACGGTCAGAAAGACAAAATGGCCGTTGTGTCGTAGGCTGACTCAAAGAAACGCCATTATAAAAAAACAATGTAGAGTATCCAAATCTGCGGAAAAGGGTTCCGTCCACTAGACGGATCGCCTCTCAAGCTCAGGCCTATTGGTCCCCCCAGAACGCTTACAGGAAGTTTTCATCATAAAAGGTGTCGAGCAGCACAAACTACACTCTCCCATAGGTTTCGGGGGGGGGGGGGGGGGGGGGGAGCGGCTTCTCTAGCCTTAGAACAAGGATTTGATAGCTCACAAGTAATGCAGATGGGAAGGTGGAGATCCCTTAGAGCATTTCAGGCGTACATTCGTCCGATGGCAGTCGAGTTGCATGCATAACCAAGATCTACTGGGAGGGATTGGACATTGTACTCTAGATTAGTGTATGGAAGTGGAATATCAGTATATAGTTGCTCACATATGACATGTATCTTAATAGGATCTCAGGGTTCTACGTACCGAAGCAGCCTTCATGACGTATACTGCATCTCACATTACATTTCTGCCAGTATTACCACAAAGCTCCATATGCTCATTGTACCTGTATCACTTACATGTATATCTGTATATCAGTATCTAATCGGTTACGCATAATTCCACTCGATGAATATACTGCCGCATGACATCCTCAGGCAACATAAACCTTACCATACAAATGCTCTTCTCCGGTGTCGAAAAGCTGTTTATCCCCAGCGATAGCGGAGGGATAAGCACCTTTCAACATCCATAATGTTCTTGGAAGAATCGCTTCTGAAGCTGCACAAGCAGGGCTATGTAGCTCTAAGTTTGATAGTCATAGTAAATGATTTCTGAATGGTGCTCGCCGTTCTAAATAATTCCTTTTCAGGAGCGTTCGTATAGTCCTCATCATTGCAGACCGGTGGGGCGGGTGAGCCGCGCCGCGTGTGACTCGGCTGTGACTACGGCTCATGACAGTCGCGTCACAGCCGCGTCACACGCAGCGCGGCTCACCCGCCCCACCGGTCTGCAATGATGAGGACTGTATGGGAGCAGGCTAGATTGCGAAAGAGCCCGTTCCATTGCAACTGCAGAAAGCGTTTCGAAAGCTCAGCCAAAATCTGAATGCGCGCGAGCGTCTAAAATATTCATATTGCTTCGATGTCATTCCTTTACTCTTTCTCTTTTTGTCGCTTTTCTATCTTTTTCTTTTGATCGAGTCGTGCCAAGACTACCCTTTGGGGAAGAGTTCGTATCTAGCAAAAATTTTAAAAAACCTATGAAATGCAATAATGCGTATCCTGGCTGTGGACTGCATTCAGTTACAATAGGTAGCTACAGTAAGATGAACAGGGATCTTCTTTTTATCCGACCCCTTTAAAATTATTTGGAGGGCGACACAGTGTACATATAAACTACTGGATATAAAGCAATGACAAACGCGTGCACATGTGGCAACGACAAACGCGTGCACCCAGTGCTGTAGTTTTTGCATCAGTAGGATTCTGGTGATATTCTGCCGGCTCATTCAAGGTGAATCACTCATCGTCAGTGACTGCGCTGTAGATTAATCAGATCAGTGTGGGAAGTTAAGTGGTATGCATCATCGTCAAACCGTGTTCAAAGTTGGTACGGGTTCAGCACGTGTAGTCCAAATTCCGAACTTTGAGAATTTCTCTCTCGTCCACATGGTACTCTATGGCCGTTGTGACTTCGCTCACTCCAGCTTTTCACCGACTATAAGTAGCTCACCCACCCCGGAGTCCCCTCCCCTTGAAAAATCCCGTTTCCTGGCTCGCCATACGTTTTTTGCACGTTTCGATGCTTTGGCAGCCGCTGCCCTCTATCCGTCTGCGTCACAGGGTTTCGTAACAGGACCATGCACAAAAGTTCAAGATGTTGCGTAACCCGACCCGGGAGAATTGTACACAGGGACAAGTCG